AGGCGGCTCATTTTAACCGATGGCTGGACACGTGGGGTATAAGACACTAAACCGGGTAATGGCCCGATTTTGTTGGCCCGGCATTTGGGCGGACGTGCTCTGCTGTTGTGCTTCTTGCCCCGAATGCCAGTTTGCCACTTAGTTGATCAACGGCCATTCCAAGAGTGCCTTTTATTGAGGTGCCATTTGAACGCATTGGGATGGACCTCATCAGGTCATCCATCCAGAGGCAGTGCCGTTGCACACCAGCTCTGCAAAGAGTGTAGCACGGGAACTGATTCAAATCATCTCCCGAGATGGGATCCTGACTGATCAAGGCACCCAATTTATGTCAGAACACTGAGAGAACTGTATTGCACCCTCTGTTGTTTTCAGTGCGTAATGTTCCCCAGGCCTCCACGAGGTTTTCTAGCTTTGAGATGCTATTTTGCACAAAACCATGCAGGGTTTTGGACCTGGTTAAAGAAAGCTGGGAAGAGGATCTGAGCTGATGTAAGAATGAGGTCCAATACGATCTGGACCTGAGAGCAAAACTCCACACACTGGGACAGTTATCACATGAGAATTTATTCAGTGCCCAGGAACATCAAAAGTGGCTGTACAATAGAGGATCTGGATCAGGACAATTCTCACCGGGCGATAAGGTACTTGAACTACTCGTCCAAATCCAAATTACTCGCTAAGTGGCAAGGACCCTTCTGACCCAAGTGGGTGACGTTGACTATGAGATGGTACGACTTGTCGGGGGAGGGGTCACGCAGATTTACCACCTCAACCTCCTGAAAGCTTAGAGAGATGCCGAGTCCACTTTCCTGGTGACGGCGATTGCAGAGAGAGAGATATGAGTTGGGGCCTGAGGTATGACATTTGACCAATCTTGGGAGGGGGTGGGTGGGAAAAAAGTTGGTTCGGATGGCTCAAGTTATTCAAATTATGAGTAGGACTAAGACATGACACCAAAATATATTTTTGAAATAAACAGAAATGATTAAGAAGGGGGAAAATATAATTTGCACATGCAATAAATGATTGCTCATGCTCAATGATTGGAATTTCACCAAGATAATTATTAATAAAACAAAGACACACAGGTTTGTTTGGTGTAAGGAGGCCAGACATGTGTTTCCAAATGTTAAAAGTTGAAGATTTATTACAAAAAGAATTGCAAGTCATTAAAAGCACATAGACTTATGCTTGACAAATAACTACTGTATAAGATAAAAAGTGAAAAGGAATTCACAGAACTAATCACAAACTACTTCTGAAAACTTTGGAGGATGAGAATGACTGGTTCAGATTGAACTAATCAGAAAGAACTTCTGAACTTTGGCCAAAAGAAAATGATGAAAAATTAATCTTGTGATTCATTAAGTCCATACAATAAAATCTGTTAAAAAATGTATTTTTGCATAAGTTAGCAGGATCTCTGCTTGTTTTGTAACTTTGGGTCATTTTACCCACACACGGTTGTAATGTGGAGAAGCTAAATGGGTCTGAAACCCCTCTGCTGTCGCACATGTTCTCAGAATTCCGTAGTCATAGAGATACTCCAAAAAGACAAAAAGACTTGATGTATTCTGTTTTCAAAAACGGCGTTGCTCCCTGTTTATCTGTAACTAAGTACAAGTGATTTACAGTAAGTACCAAGATATCCCTATCACATGGATTTAGATCAATCTGAAATATTTGCCAGTCATTTTAAAGAGAAAGATCAACGTTCATACAAAGAAACAACTTTTAAAAGACGTTTTCCAGAATCAGTACTAAATGACTTGCTGAATGTAGGAGATGTCACAAACATTTTTCACTTGAACTATGTCCCAGCTTTAGCGGCTGAAGCTGAATGAGGGAACGTCATTAATGTGTAATCATATCTTTGTGTTACATTGGAAAACTTTACACCCGAGAAGTATTGATGGCAGAGTATGTGCAGAAGTCTGAACTTTTGGCGGTGCTCTTCCTCTTTGGTCTCTGTGATGCCTGACGGATTTCCAGGGCTGCATAACACACGTCTTCACCCTAAGATTTGACATTTACAGTCCAGCAACACGATCACCTCATTTCATCAACGATATAATAAATTCACAGTGACAAAAGTCTGTATGGATTAATACAAAGACATATTCAGCTGTTATTTACCTCTCTTGGCTTTCTTGTGACGGCCCTTAGTTTTTCATTATCTTGTGTATCTTCCACTGCAGTAAGGAAAAAAAAAAAAGGAAATAAATAAGGGAAATCATACTACATTTTCTCCGATAGCATGTCAAACGTGGCAGGTACCTGTTTTCCGGCAGAGCTTGTAAACCAGAAGAGAGGAGAAGAGAGCAAAGACAAAAGCGAAAGACAGGCACAGAAAGAAGAGGAGTTTCCAGTTCACATCGCGGTGGAAATTGCAGTCCAAATGGCCGTGCTGCTGCGTCTTATTACCGTCAACGTGAAGCCAACTGGGCTCTGGCAAAATACAAACTTTTGTTGAATAGCCAATTTTAATACATCATCTCTGGAAACCAGAACATTCTGAGGGAGTTTTACTTTAATCTCCCAATCTTCAGTCAATGTATCTTTTAAATAGTCAGTGCTCCGTTAACCTCTTTACTTTTTGTAATCTTTGAGACACAAACACAAAGAAGCAGGGATTATGTCTTACAAGTGACTAAATCATGTTGTATTAAGTCACAGAGTTGCATTAACTGATGTTCAACAAATACATACATTCATGAGAGATTTCTGTGCTCTCTCCACAAGCATGTACTAATCTACTTAGATTTGCAGCATAGTTTTCACACAGCAGCAGGAATTGATTCTTCATTTTGTCCACTGAAGGGTTTACACAACGTTTTACCTATAATAATCGTTATTATAGCTAGACAGAGTAACATACAATGTTAAATATACATATAAACATGGTAACAGTAAAGGGTAGTTCATTAAAAAGTACTTACTGACGGTGAGCCTTGTTGTGATGTTGCTGTACCTGTAGATATCTCTTGATGTAATTTTTTTTATTTCTTCCACTTTCGTCTCCTTAGTTCCACAGTAGTAAACCCCTTCATCAGAATCAGTGATATTTGTGATCAGCAGGTCATAGGAAGTAGAGTTTTTGATGAATATAAATCGTGGACATTGCTGAGACCAGCTGAGACGACTGTTTAGGACAAGAGTTGGCTGGTTTTCATGAGAACAATTCCTGAACCACACTATGTATACCCCAGTCGACTTATTGCAGTCACAATAGAGGGTGATGTTCTCTCCAGGTCTGGCTGTCACCTCCTTCACTGATCCAGAGATTCCATCATGATGGCAGAAAGCAACACCTGAAAGACATTTCCATCTCCTTGAAACTTATTCTGTCCTTTTCAAGTCAAATGTTTAAAAAGACAGCACTAAAACAAACATACCAAACCAAACGAAATGACCCAAGAGAACAGAAGCAATCAGAAGCAGTCGGTCCATAGCTGACGATGATGAGATGACAGATTAGAAGGAAGAGTGACTTATTGTACTGATGGGATCTGCTCAAATATTTCCATTAAGGGTGGCGTTGCTGATGATTGGCTGGTCAAATGGAAACATTTACTCTGTGGTTACCAGATTGGCTGCAACTCTATACGTGCAGTAGGATGTTGGGGTTAGCACTCATTACGAGCATGAAGACCGCCTGTTAGGCACTTGCAGGCCATAAATGCCTTTATAGAATATGAGGCACACACATGCACATCTTGCCTGTCGGTGACCCTACAATGTGGCCAGAGAAAATTTTAATTGTGGATATGGCTGAGAAAAGACCCAGCTGACACTGTTTAGGACAAGAAGGTGTACCCAGTCCACATTTCACATTCACAATCAGATTTTTATTGCTGTTATGACGGCAATAGAAAATGACAGAAAAGAAAAAGAATGTTTTTTTTTTAGTCAGCTTCACTTTTGATTCTTTAGGTTCAAAGCATTCCTTACGATCTCTTGTGTTAGGTTCCTGCAGGTTTCCCCACATTCCCGTTATGCCTCTTCCCCTTTTCCCTGCTGTTTGCTGCTTGGTTTCTTTGATCCTCACCAGTTCTTGGGGTTGTGGCTGGCTGTGCGGCACAGCTATTGCCTCTCGCACTCAACATGTGGCTCATCATCCTTCCAACAGCCTGCTCCCATAGATTTTCAGTATCTCATTGAAGTCCTTATTTCTAGTCCAATGATCCAAGGACAACCTGTTTTATCAACTCAATACATTTATTGCTGTTTTTCTGCTGGTTACAGGAAAAAGTATTATAACCAAATTGTGGCAGTTTCAGCCACCATGGGTACTTAAACACATTTCTCCAAGGCAGAGAGTTGTCCAAAGACTTTTATTTTCTGCGTGGACATACACTCACACACACACACACACACACACACACACACACACACCCACACGCGCACACACAGCCTGAGGCTCAGTTGTTAAGTTGCTTAGTTGTGGCAGTGGCTGGATCCCGATCTGGGGTCCTCCCCCCAGGTCCAGCACACTACTTTTTAAACAAGGAGAGAGTAATTGCAACTAATTTTGCCACCGCTCCCCTGAGCCTCCCCCACACCTTCCCTCCTGCGGCTGAGCACCACGCCCCCTCCACGCATTTAATGAAAAAACTATTTACAGCTGAACTCCTGTCTTACTGTGGTCGAAGATCTGTCTCTTACACAGTTTCACGGTTGCATAGGCTCAGGTTATTCAAGTTATGAGTATGACTAAAACATGATGCCACAGTTTTTTTTGTTCCAAATAACAGAAATGAATGAGAAGGAATGAGAAGGAAAGAGTATCATTTGTACATGCAATATAAATTGATGCTCACAATGTATGGTAAAATCAATTGTAAATTAACTTTTGAATATTGGACAAATAGAGAAAGATTTGTAACAAATGACCTTTGAAGAGAAATAGCGCAAACCAATAAGGAAGTGTGTAAATGTATATTTCATTACCTTTGTGTGACTATACTTAAAAATATATATTTAGGTTGTGTTCTGTGTGATGCAATATTATCTAATGCAGTACATAACTGGTATTTTCATGCAACCTGTTTGATGCTGTTTGCATGTGATCTATCTTCTGTGTGAACAATGAGGTGTTGATAGGTGTTGCTCTTGTCTGCATGTTCCATAAACAGTTGTGTGTGGGGGCTTTTTGTCCTTTGTGGGTTTCCTGTGAGATTAACTAAAACGTAAAAGCGGATGAGGCTGCATTTGCCGTCAAATTGTTTTGTTTTTTTCCCCTCTCATTACTTCGGGGAAACGGTGAGGAGGGGCATCTTTGAATTAACAAATGACTAAGAAGAGTCAATTTGGCTCTTGGTTGAGCCTTGTAGTGTGTTAGAAAAACAGAGGCGTTGGCTTGAAAACAGCGATAATGATGGAAAGACTGTCCTTTATGATAGAGCTTATAGTTCGGGTGAGTCGAGCCCTAGTTATGCTGCGATAGGCCTAGACTGCCCGGATATTTCCCACGAGAAACCGAGCTTACCTCTCCTTTCTCTGTCTCCCTCTCAGTGCAACCTCATTCCATTAACGCATGTTACTAACTGGACTCTTTCCCGTTTCCATAGTCGTGTGCTTTCTCGTCCCTCTCCTCCTAACACTTTGTGCAGATGTTCCTGGCTCTGGAGCTGTCGAGACTGGATCTGTGATTGGGAGTCTCCTACTGTCCCCGTGTTCCTACTCCGCCACAATTACAACCACTGTTCATTGTCTTATTGCTATTATTAGGCAAGGCAAGGCAAGTTTATTTGTATAGCACATTTCATGTACAAGACAATTCAAAGTGCTTTACAGACAGTTAAAATCAGAAAAACAAGAAAAATCATACTGAAAATTATACTAAATACTAAATAAATACTAAAAATACTAAAAATTAGACAGATGAAAAGTAAAGGGTGCAGATAAAATACAATACACTTTCCATATGCACAGTTAAACAGAAGCGTTTTCAGCCTGGATTTAAACATTGTCAGAGTTGAAGCCTGTCTCTCATCTTCAGGAAGACTGTTCCAGATTTTAGGAACATGAAACTGAAATGAAACTTCACCTTGTTTAGTTCTGACTCTGGGCACCAGCAGGAGACCAGAACCTGAGGTTCTCAGAGTCCGGGCTGGTTCATATGGCTCTGACATGTCAGAAAGGTATTTTGGTGCTTGCCTATGAAAAGACTTGTACAGAAGCAGAGCTGTTTTAAAATCTATTCTCTGAGTGACAGGAAGCCAGTGGAGAGACCTTATCACTGGACTGATATGGTCGTATTTCCTGGTTCTGGTCAGAACTCTGGCAGCAGCATTCTGGATGTTCCTCAGGTGTCTTACAGCTCGTTTAGAGAGCCCAGTGAGCAGGCCATTACAGTACTCCAATCTGCCAGAGACAAACACATGGATTAGTCTTTCTAGGTCAGGTTTAGACACTATTCCTCTGATTCTGCCAATGTTTTTGAGATGGTAAAATTCTGCTGATGTTATTGATTTAATGTGGCTGTTAAAGTTCAGGTCTGAGTCCAGTATTACCCCAAGAATCTTGACCTGATTTTTAGGTTCCAGAGAGAGTGTCTGAAGGTGGCTAATGACACTATGACACTTATTACTGCTATCATTATCATTATTATCAATATCATTGCCATTTTTCATCCAGTATATGTGTTACCGTGTAGGCTGCCTGCTTCTGTCCCTCTCTCTTTCTTGCCCTCTCTCTCTCTCGCCCAACCGGCCGAGGCAGATGGCCGCCCACCCTGAGCCATGGTACTGCTCGAGATTTCTGCCTCTTAAAAGGAAGTTTTTCCTTGACTGTGTCGCCTAGTGCTTGCTCTTGGTATGAATTGTTGGGCTTCTGTAAATAACTTCAGAGTAGGGTCTGACCTGCTCTATTTGGAAAGCGCTGTGAGATAACTGTTGTTGTGATTTGGCACTGTTTCATTAAAATTGAATTGTTTACAGAGAATTTAAGAGAATGATTGGCTCAAAGACGAGTGAACAAAAAAGACCATGAGCCCAGTGCGGTCATATCATGATTCAAAATGTGGGACGTTTGACAGTGTGGGACAACATGAGTGACAAATAAGTTGCAAAGAAATAGTAAGGCTAATTGTCTAAAATTCAATTTGGAAAAAGGGAACAGATTAGTACAGCAATAAACCAAAAATAACCGCTTAGGCGGAGGGTTTGAGGCCAGTTAAAGAGTCTGAGGTGTTTACTTGACATCGAAACTGCCCTGACAAACGTTGAGCTGGAATGTCGAAGGCAAGTACAGCTCCAAAGACTCAAACAGTACATGTATAGGGGCAAAATAATCTATAGCCAACATCTCAGTATAAAACACTCAGGAAATACTCACAGATGAACTTTGTCCATATCCTGTCTCGTCTTTTCTTAGCATTAGCACCCTTCCAGTGTTGGGCTTGGTATTGGTCATAATATATCAGCTGACTTGTTTTTATGATATACATAATGAACCAACCCCAGAAAACAAAGGTCTGCATCTTTATTTGATTTTTACACAAAACTTAAACTTTTGTTAAAAGTATTGCGGTTGTAGTGAACTGGCATATATATATATATATATATATATATATATATATATATATATATATATATATACATATATACATATATATGTGTGTGTGTGTGTGTTTTATCGAGAGCATAAGGTGCACTTTAGACGTTGAAACTGTGTTTTTATCTCTGTCTAAACACTAAGCACACTCAACACTGTAGTTGAGTGTGGCTGTTTTGTCACTCTGGGTTTCCTGTTTTGCTGATCAGAATGCGCTTTGGCTGGTCTCTTGGTCAACCTCGTCTTTTCTGGTATGTCATAGTATACCAGACACCTTACTGTGAGAAAGATGTCAGCTTTGACGTGTCTTGAAAGCGTATTTATATTGTTTGTTAAGTTTGACGGCGTGTTAGAGTTACAGCTTGAGTGTAAAAGATGGTCATGTGTTAGCACATGGCTAACATTTTACAGAAAAAAAATATTGTTTTTTTTTGCAACGACACCCAACATGATTGAAAGAAAAACAGAAAAAGAACAACAGATACACCAGGAAATGCTACTGGTAGCGAGTGTGGCTGGGTTTTGAACTAAACTGATTATTCTTCCTGACTTGAAACATAGACCATACCATTTTTTTCTCTGCTGCTCCACTGAAAAGTAAAATAAAAACAGAATGCAACACAAATCTCATAAGCCAATGCTCCCATGTCACATGTTGTTATTGTGATGTTTCAATCTTGTATGCGATGACTGTCTTTTCGTTGGATTTTACTACAGCTGTGAAATGTCTCACTTCTATGTTGTATTAAGAATA